GTGAAACCTCATCTCTGCTAAAAATACAACAACAACAACAACAAATTAGCCAGGTGTGGTGATGGGTGCCTGTAATCCCAGCTACTTGGGAGGCTGAGGCAGGGGAATTGCGTGAACTCGGGAGGTGGAGGTTCCAGTGAGCCGAGATCGCGTCATTGCACTCCAGCCTGGGAGACAGTGCGAGATTCCATCTCAAAATAAATATAAAATAAAATAAAATAAAATAAAATAAAATAAAATAAATAGTAATAGCAATGCCTTCTTCTGGAATCCTGCCTGAAGGATCTTCCTGAGGCTGTCTTGTAGTTAACTATTTTATTTTTTAAATAAGTAGGAGTACACTCTAAAATGATAATTAAAATATAGTAAATATATAAACCAATAAGTCATTTCTTATCAAGTATTATATACTGTACATAATTATATGTGCTAGAATTTTACATGACTGGCAGCACAGTAGGTTTCCAGCAGCATCATTGTGAACATGAGTAATGTATTGCTATGACATCAGCAGGCTGTAGGAAATTTTCAGCTCCATACCGCTGTTGTGTATGTGGTTTGTCATTGATGAAACTGTTGTGTGCTACATGACTGTGAGTGCATATATAATGTTAATGCGGTCTTTAACTGAAGTATTTAATCTATGTACATTTAATGTTATTATTTATATATTTTAGTTTTAGTTACCATTTTACTATTTGGTATCTATTTGACCCACCTGTTTTATATTCCTTTTTCTCTTTTTTTAGCTTCATTTGCATTAATTTTTTACTACATTATTTTCCCTCTACTAACTTGTCAGTTACACGTTTGGTTATTATTGTTTTAGTGGTTACTCTAGAAATCACAACATATATTTTTAATTATTACTGTCTAGAACACAAAATAGTCCTTTCCTGCTTTTTCAATAATGCTAGAACCTGCAAATGTTTTAACTCCATCTACTCTCTCCATCTTATGTGTTATTGCTGACATGTATTTTCATATTATATTCACTTTATACAATCAATATTGATTTATATTTATCAACATATTTACCCTTTCCATAGCTTATTACTTAGTGTATTTCTATATTTTCATTTCATAATCAATATTGCCAGAGGTTTTTGTAGTCTTTTCAAAGAACTAACTTACTTAACGTATTATATATATCTTATTATAACTTTCTTCAGTTATCTTCTTTCCATATTCTTTTAATTTGTGTAAATATTTATTCTATTTTTTCATCTGCTTGACCTATCAATAACTAGGAGAGGTATATTTAAATTGCTCACTAAAGTGATAGATTTATCATTTTTTCCTGTAATTCTAGTGATTTTTATTATATAGCCAGAAGCACATAGAAAGTTAGATGTTAAATATTCCTGGTGGATTAAACTTTTAATTATGTAGAGGTCTTCTCATAATGCTTTGGCTTAAAACATTTTTTATTCAATATTAGAATAGCTCATTTAGCTTTCTTTGAGCAGTATTTTCCTGGTATATCCTCACTTTAAAAATTTTTTCACTATTCTTATATTTTTGTATATCTGTTGTATACATCCTATTGTTATAATTTATGGGTTTTTTTTGCCCACTCTGACAATCTCTATCTTAAATGATAGTTACTAGTCTATTTTATTCACATATTTGACTTTTTGTCATCTTAGTAGTTCTATTTTTTCATCTTTTCATGCTTTTTTTCCCCTTTCTTTAGACAATCTTAGTTCCACTTTTGAAAAAAATATTAATTCCTATTTTCCCTCCAGTATTTAGAAAATTACTCTCTCCATTCTTATGATGAGTATCTTTGATACTACAGGGCACACTTAATTTAACAATGTTGAGGTTAACCAATATCTTACAGCTTTTGTCCTGAACAGTTCATTAATGTTAAAACACTTAAATTCAGATCACCCTATCCCAACTTACATCCTATTTCTATTCTCTATTTTAGTAATTAAAACTGTAGGTGTATTAACTGTAGTTGTATTTTAGTGGAGGGCCTTTCAAAATATCATGTTGGGGTTACTGAAGGAGGCACGGATCATCTCCCTTTATTTGCTGATCCAGTTTTCTGCTTTTGAGCTGGTTTCTTGACTCAGGGTGTATTCCTCATTGTTTGGATAGATTATGCAACTGCCCCATAGCTCTTTTGTCTTGGAACTGCTTCTCTGTAGACTTGTTGCTGAGATTTAGCAAATGAATCCAAGCACCAAGCAATTGCTGTAGGTCTCTTCCTGAAACCTTCTCTAACCCTCAGTAGTCCCTTGGACTTGTCTAGGAGATAAGATGTACAGCTGATGAAGTAAACACAAATGGAAGAGCAGAGAGAAGTTGTCTTATGGGAAACCCTGAGAATCTGCAGTTTTGTTTACATTCCTGTGCAAATGACCGTTTTGCAGCATTGTTACATTCTGCAGAGAACATAAGATTTATTTTCTATTTAAATGGAGATTTGGCTATTTTCTTTCATGGCATTTGAATCTTCTTGCTTCAACTACCTGCTACTACAGCTTCTGGAAGCCTTTACCTAACCCTACAATTTTATTCTTTAGCTTTCAACCTCCTCTGAAGAGTCCTTATCTTTATGGATTACCAAATAAACTAGTTTGTGCTGATTGATTCATTTTTTAGAATTTGAATTGCATTCCTCCTTCTGCCTGAAACCTCAGTATAAACAGGTGCATGTGTGCATACTCACATACACTAAAGACAAGAGGAATTGCACATTCAGAAATATCTTTACTTTTGCTGGTCTGACAACCACTTGGTTTCTTTTTGTTATTAAAGATAACAAAGGTGGTGTCTAAAGAAAGGTGGACTCCTCCTTGCTTGATCCCCTGGACTTCCCCAAGGATCAACTAAGTTATTCCACCTCCAAGGAGATGTGCTCACATTTGAAACATTGTTTCAGCTATTTTGCCATAATAAAGGTTAATGATTACATGGGTTGTGCATCTACTTTTTGGCTCTTTTAGTCTTTCCCTCTCTCATAAAGTAGAATAGCGGGTCGGTGAGCCAGCATCACTAGAAATATAAGGAGATGGAAATAATTGTAGGTATATTCCTCTCAGCTTTTGTGGCTGGAATATTTAGGTCAGCCAAGGGAGATGCTAGAGGTAAAACAAACTTTTTAAAATACTGATGTGGAAGGGTACCAAATTATTAACCTGCCCAGCATGCCATCAGTTACCATTTCTCAGTTCAGCTTTCATTCTAGAAAACTATTATGGGGCCCAGTAACTCTCATTTGGATTGCTGTCCTTCCAGCCAGTCTGATGAATCAAAAATTTTTTTAAGTCATTCATTTATTAAATATAATCTCATTTTTCCCATATGGCAGGGTGGTCCAGAGGCTGCAGCCTTGGCTGAAGGGGACCAGAACCATGTGTCTCTGCCATCTGGGTGGGACTCACTGGGCATTTTCTCCTCTACTACACTACTGCTCAGCGGAAACAATGTGTCTTCTATAGATCCATTACTTCAGTTGTGCTTTGAAGTGGGTAACAAGTTTCTTAGTGGATTTTGCTTTTAGCACCTTGATGTCAATCTGATTTATGAAATTCTTCATGGAGTTCATCTGAGGTTACTAGATTCTGCTTTGGAATAGGAGGCCTAAGTCCCAGATAATAAAACTATATTTTGACGTTATCTCTTGGGCATTTATTTCTCTTGGGAGTTTGTGGAGACGAGGTTAAATATTCCTTGGTTATTCCTAAATTATCTGGTCAAATACCCTTATATTATCATTTTTAATTTCATACTTCATTAGCACATCATTTCCAACAACCTGGCAATTCTGTTAACTAAGTAGATTACTTATTAATTTCCTCCAAATAATATCTTAAAAATCTGGCCATTTTCTCCCTCATAAACTTATTTTAGGTATTTAAGGATGCCAGAATTCTACTGCTTACAAGATACTAGAGGGGACCCCTCCGAATACACATCCTGTGCTCCAGCCTCCCTGCCCACATTCAGCTGCCCTGCTTCTTCCCTGCTGCTTCCCGTGGTTCTGTTTGTTCAGATTTGGGAGACATGTCCCTCCAAGAACCTCAGAAAATTGTGTAGTTTACAAAAGGGACGAGAGATTTAGTGTCAGCATATGAAACTCTGCAAGGAGATCAGCAATAGGGCTCTTTGATGTTCCAACAAACTGGCCCAGCCTCTCAAGCTTTCTCTCATGTAGAACTTCGATTTTCATTTATTGGACTAAATGCAAATAAGAGAATTAAAAAATCAATTTGTTCTGTCACCGCCAGTATTTTGTCAACCTGCATAAGCTAGGAGAAAGTATCTTTTGTGGCTGTGACTTTCACCCAGGACAAACTGTGCTTCGGCTTAGATATACGGTTGAGAAATGCCTTCATATTAGGACAGCATCTTCTGCAAACTCCAGACTTGGATCTTACCTCAGAGTGCATATATTTCACCTGACTCTGCTAATCGTACCAAGCCTTCCCTTCCTTATGGAAAAAGACTCTGTACTCCCAGATTTATTTGCGTATGAATCACCCTCAGAAATATCAGGACACTGAAGCCCTGGAAAAGGAATAGGTAAGATGGGAAGTCCCAGAAACCAGGGAACTTGGCTGCAAGTGTTACCTTTATTTATTTCATCTGTGTATATTTCCAGGACAATGGTTGACTGGTATTAATACCAAATCAGTCCATCAGAATATCATTGACCGAAATGAGAATTTCCCTGTTGGGCCATTAGAGTTGGAGTCTTATTAACTCTCCCCTATTCCTCTGGCCCATAATGGATTATGAGATAGAACAGAAGCAACCAGGCACAGAAGACTCTCCCTCTCATGCTTTAACCCCATACCCTGTGCTCCATTTATGGAAGATGTCTCCCCAGTCCTTGCCACTCCCACAATCAGAGCAGGTGAGGTTCATAATTATTCAGCCTCATCTCCATGGAATCTTTAGGCAACACAGATCCTTGGGCCATCATGAGATGCTACTTTTTAGTTCTCAGTTACACGAACGTAAGAAAAAGCAACCACCACAAATACATGAAAGCTATTTACTCCTGGTGAATTCCTCAGGGTCCCAGGTTCTGGGGTTCAACACTTCCCATGATGTCAGAGGACTCAGGCAGGGATGATGGGGACAGGGTGTCAGGAGAATAGTCTTGATGGTCTTGCCAGCAACAGCTTTTTCTTATTTTCCATAATTTGGTCTTAGTTGTTCTCCAGTTGTCTTCATGTGACCCATGGCTATCATGATTCTGCAATTGTTATAGTGCCTTTGTAAGGTGACACTGTTCCCAAATCCCCTTATTCACACCACCCCTGTGAAGGGGGTGTCGAAGGGTGGGTGGGCTTGTGCATATGAGGGAATGTGAATGATTTCATTCTGACTGAATTGTGCTTTCCTCAATAAGCTCTCAAACGCTACCATCTCACTTGTAGTAGAAGTGCTAGGGACGAAACCAAGAGACTGGCTGAATAATGGGAAGGTTAAATGCATGAGTATTTTAATAGGAAAAAATATTAAAGACAAAACCAAAACCCATATGGAAAGAGGCTTCCGACTAGGCCCTCCTTTCTAGCAGTGTTTGGCACCTGATAACAATTTGACATTGGGGGAGGGAGCAGCTTGGCAAGGTCCACCTGAAGCAGCTTTGAGATTTTTTTTGCCTGCTTCCATTTCTCCTCAGCATCAAAGGAAAGTGCATGGTAAGAAGTGAATCAGACAGCAAGGGGTTTGTACAGTCATCCTGTGAATGTGTGGCAAAGCCATCAGGACGCAAACCTCCTGTCTTGAGTTCAGAGCTGTGTGCTTTAAGACTTGAGCCCTCTAAAGACAGAATCCTTCAGGCTGGTCCCTTCCCAAACCTAAGGGGCTGTCCTTGGCCACTTTCAACTCGAGGCTGTTAAGCAGTCTTTAGGATATGTAACAGCCTATTTTTTGGACAATACAGTAACCACAACCTCTTAAGTCTTTTAATTTTCCTACTTTACAACCACGAGATAGAGGCAGCCACACTCTAGTGAAGGAGAAGCCTCAATTCAGGTTGTACTTTGGATGAAACATCTCAAGGCGTAGAAGGCGGCTGAGAGGTTCTGCCCAGGCTTGTATTTAGTTGCCGGAAGAGGTGATGTCGGATCTGGGCAGGTCAGGGAGACTCCCTAGAAAAGGTCTTCCCAGGCTGACAAGAGGGCTTTTCCTGTTCCTCACCTCCCTTAGGTGAGGGCTGAAAGCAGATTTCCTCACATGGGGACCTAGCTAGGAGGTCTTTTCTGAGTGGGTCCTCTGATGCCTAATTAAGTGATACCCTCTGCTGAAGCTTTTTCCACAAGTGGGGCACGTGAACGGTTTCTCCCCAGTGTGTGTTCTCTGATGCCTGACGAGGTGGTCCCTGCGACTGAAGCTCTTCCCACATTCGTTGCATCGGCAGGGCCTCACGGAGGCGTGTCCTCGCAGGTGCTTGGCGAACGCTGCGCTGTGGGTGAAGCAGCGCCCGCACTCGCTGCAGAGGTAGAGCTCCTCGGCCGCGTGCGTCTTCCGGTGCGCCAGGTACCGCCTGTGCTCACTGAAGTCCTCGCCACACTCTCCACACAAGTAGGGTTTGCCTCCCAGGTGGATTCTTTGGTGTGTTGTTAGCACAGATTTCTGGCTGAAGCTTTTGCCACAAATAGTACAAAAGAAGGGTTTTTCTCCTGTATGTGTCCTCTGATGCCTGACAAGGTCTGAAGTCCAGCGGAAGTGTTTTCCACAATCATCACATCTATAGGGCTTCTCCACAGATGGAGTTCTCTCAGCCTGGGTCAAAGGGGAGGTCGCTTCCAAATCCTTCCGGTTTAAGGGATATTTATAAGGAGCGTTCATCTTATGAACCTTTTGGTGCCTGGCAAGATGCGAGCTTCGCGTGTAACTTTTTCCACACTCCATACATTTATAGGGTTTCTCTCCCGTGTGAGTTCTCAGGTGTCTAACGAGGTGGGAGTTACAAGTGAAGCTCTTTCCACACACAGAGCAGTCATGGTGTCTCCCTAACAGTGGGTGGACGGGCGTAGTTTCCCGAAGGTTCGCAAAACTATTCACTTGAGAAATGTTTGTACCAAATCTTCTTTCATTAAGTCTACCCGGACTATCCTCAAAGACTATTTCCCAATCTGGAGTCTGGTGAATTTCTGGTTCTCCCAAAATAGGCCTGTGTATATCGTCCAAACTCAGATCTTCCTGCTCCACACACTCTTCCTCATCTTTACTCCTATCTCCTGCAGAAAGGGCAAGAGGAAAATAGGGGTCACTGTAGTGGCAACAATAACTTCTACACAATGGGGAGATTTTTTAAAAGGGTTTTGAGACGGAAAGACTCAATGGAATCCCTGTCCTGTCCAAGCACTTTCCCATATGTTATGCTATCAACAAACCTTGGTATGCACAAATATAATCCTCATTTTATAAATGCAGAGATTGAGAGTCGAGGGGTTAAGGGAATTGTACAGGAAATGGTATGGCTGCAATTCCACAAGTTAAAAATTTTCTTTTACCCTTTTGTATTACATTGCTATCAGACAAATGATGGGAGGAGAAAAGAGGAGGGAAATGATAGAAGAATTGGCTGTCAGAGGGAGAAGGCGGTACCGGCTGACATGTTAGAAGAACTGATGAGAGGGGGGCCTTGCAGAGAGAGAAGCACTGCCTAGAGGAACTGCCAGCTCAGGGTGGGTAAGACCCTTTTTGTCATTCCTCACCTGTGTAGGTAAAACTCAGGATTTCTGGCTCTTGAGTCTCTTGAGGCTCTTGGATATCTGGGACCCAAGGCTCTTCCTCTCTAACCTGGGAGATCTCATCAGGTCTGGGGATTGGAAATGCTGCTCAAGAGAGGGAAAATAGGATATCACGATTGGCTCAACAATTCCCTGTGTTAAGAGCGGACCTTTTCTACTTGGTACGTTGTGGAGCAAATACATAGCTAGGTCAGGTGATTAAATATTTCATCTCTTTAGCTTGTGTACTTTTAACCAAGTACTGCGTATCTCTTGCCTTTCTTGTGGTTTTCACCTGCAATTCAATAATTACACTCCTGTAACCTTATCCTCTTTTCCCATATTCAAGAAAGCAGATTATCGCCAACTCTTGTTTTGAAACTCATGTGCTTACTTCAAATATTTCTGTACTAAAGCTATAATATTACAAGTTTGTTTTCCTATTAGAGGTTTCCATTTCCAACCGTTTTCTCTTTCTTTTACTTGAAGGACAGCATATTTTTCACCTAATCCCTCAATTTTATTGGTGGGGAAAATATAAGAGAAGTTCACTGCATACAGTCTAAGGCCTAAGATACCCCAAAATTTCCAGCAGGAAAAAGATCTCTGTGCTTAGAACCCTCTAGAATACTTGCAATTCCTTACACAGAGAGACTACAATTCCACAGTCTTCTTCCAAGACATATTCTCCATAGAATTCTTTCTGTGTTGGATCCAGATCACTCCACTGGTCCTGGGAAAAGCATACAGCCACATCCTTGAACGTTACCAGTCCCTGAAACCACATAAGGATTTCATCAAAATGTGACGCTCCAGGTTGCCTTGTATTCTGTCCCTGTTGAAAGTCATACAGTAGGTAGACTTCAGCTAGGAGATGAAAGGAGCTTGAGAGGGGTGCTGCTTAAACTTATTCTCAGGGGAGCTGCTAAACTCATTCCCCTAGCATCCTGCACTGGCCCTGACCCCACCAATTCTGCCACTTTCCCTGAGAACCAGCTTATGTTCTTCTTCAAGGTATTGTTTAAAATTTAAGAAAGGTCTTAAAAATCATCATTCAGCTCCCTACTTGACACTTGAATGCTACCTATATTTCTGCAAAATTTATCTTTTCTAGTAAACTTTACCTAACTGACTCTAATCACTTTCAATGGTTTCTACACTCCATAGCAAAAAGAAAACCTTTTTCCTCAGTTAGATTACAATCTAAAACCATACATGAATTCTATTCCTTTTTTCTCCAGCCAGATGGCTTGGTTTCAGGACTTTGACCATGGTGAATACTTCATAAATGTCTCAGCAGTCCAGTCTGTCATTCTTACAAATGACTATCAAATTTGTTCTTTTTAAAAAAAAAAAAAAAAGCTAAACTAAAAAACCCTCATTTGACAACTTCAAAGTTGTACTGGAGTGTTACAAAATAATCCCATTTTGTTAGTTCTTCTAGTCAACGGCAAATAAATAGGCTTTGGCACCTGTGGATCCAATAGAGAATATTATAATTTATCTCATTGTCTTCTCCCTTTTCTCCCCTGCTCCCAGGCGCCTGGAGAACCGTGAGCTTAAAACCGACAAGAGTATAAATGTACATCCTGCCTGACTTGTTCAGTATGGCTAATGCCCAGTGGTTCTTCAAACTAATTCTCTGTGGTACAGAGGAAACTAGGGCACACCTGTGATAGAGCAGTAAGAAGAGCAACCATCTCCGAGTCTCCAGAGCTCCTCTCTGTAGGAAGGTCTGGGTCCTGGGGCACTGGAACCTCTAAGAAGAAAAGAAGGCAAAGATCAGCAATATGCAGCATGCCCCAATAATGGGCAAAAATCTGGACATCCCTCACCATCTTTGGCACGAAGGTGGCCCTATCCTTCCTATAATGTGAACCAAGAAACTGGCCTAAGCTCCCATATTCCAATCCCACCACCTGTAAGACCATCAGAATGCCAAGATAATAAGCAAGAATGTTGCTATCTAAGCTTGGCCCTATTTACGGGGGGCTCTAGTTGGTACTGTCTCCTCTTGACATCCTGGATTCTCCATGCAGTCTACCCAGGTTCCTTGCTATAGGAGAAATGTCCCCCTCCTTGCCTGCCTTCTGCCACAGTCCCCCCTTTCTGGTGAGGCTTCCCACCGCTCTCCTGCAGGGGCTGGAGCTCCTCTTCCTGGTGTGGACGCTGCTCTGCCGGTGCCCCCAGATCTGGGCTCTGTGTGGTTTCCTCAGGGGACTGCTGGGGGGTTGAGCTTTGCGCGGGATCCTGCAGCTCACTAGGTGGCTCAGGCTCTGCTCCTAGACGCACTGTCTCCTCTGACAGGACTTCCTGGCCATGAACATGGACAGTCACCTGGGAATAATTCCAACTTCCAGTCACCATAGAGTCAGGAGGAAGTTCTTGGCTGTCATGGGGGCTTATTTTGGGAGATGCCTAGAGAAAACACACCCAGAGGGACCCAGACAAGGAAGGGAAACTCCAGTTCCACTGGAGCAGGCAGGAGGAGCTGAAGATTATCTTCCCCAGGACAAGGTAGGGAGCGTGCAGTCCTGAGCTGCTCTCTCACCTTCCCTAGCCTTGGCCCCCGTAACCCAAGGCTCCTTCCCATCTCTACCTGTCCCAACTGCAGCTCTCCTTGACTGTTTCCCTAGCTGACCAGCCAGGAAGGGGGGATCTGTGATTGGGGGTCTATGAGAACCTCTGAGGAAGTCACAAAATTCTCTCCAGGAACCCAAGGCACAACGCTCAAAGAAGGGAAAACCAAAGCCATGACCCTTTGGTGGCTGAGACCCCTCAGATGGTCCCTACATAGGTGTTCCAAAATCCAGAAAGTCACACTCATACACACACATCCCCCTAATCCAAGGGGCTCATGGATCTATGAGCAATCCAAGGGCAGAGCCCATTAATTTATGGGGATCCTGTAAGCCCTCCCCGCAAATCCAGCCTTCCAGCAAATAGTCCCCCTCCACATCACACAGATCAGGACTCCCCCTCCTCACCCACCGCCTTGGTCTCCTGGGTTGTTTCTGCAAACCCTCCACCAGCGTCACTGCCTCCTCGCCACTTTCTGGCCGTTGGCCCCGCACCCAGCTCTGTAGTTCTCCAGGCAGGACGGTAAGAAACTGTTCCAGCACAAGCAGCTCTAGGATCTGCTCCTTGGTCCGCCTCTCTGGTCTCAGCCACTGGTGACAAAGTTCTCGGAGTCTGATGAGAGCTTCTCTAGGGCTTGCTGCTTCCTGGTAACGGAAGCGTCGGAAGTTCTGGTGAGAGGTCTCCAGCACTGGGTCATCCCTCTGTAAGACAGACTCTGGCCTACAGGTGAAATCATCTTCCAGTTTCACCATCAGAATTCCCTCTTCTTCCCAAAGATCCTGGTCCTCTGGTTCCACAGTTGTAGTCATTTCTTGGCTTGGGGTGGTCTCACACCATCTAGAGCAGCTCACACTGTCATTAGCCCCCAGCCTCAGCCTGGACACAGCAATATTTCCTCCCAAAGGCCCTGGGTAGAGAAGTAAAGACAAACAATAGTATAAGCATGAAACTGAGGACAACAGTCTGAGTTCAATCATAATCCTCTACACAAACTTCTTCAAATGCTTAAATCCTCTTTTCCCCAGCTTCCATAGCCACAAATCAACAGATCCAGTTGGGAGAGGATAATCAACTAAAGGTATGGTCCTAGGCAAGGTTCATACTCCACAAGAAAATACTGTATCTCCACTTTGTGAATACTGCCAATTCCACCTCTAAAGGCTCCAAATCTGTTCCCTCCTCTTCCTTCCTACAGACCGCTTTAGTTTGAGCCTCCCTCATCTCCTGCCTGGACTACTACTGTAACTTCCCAAGATCCCTGCAGTACTCAACTATGAGTAAAGTGCATCAGAATTACGTGTGGAGGTTTTGCAAAACACAGTACCACACAATGTTTTTCAGACACTCTGATTCTCAGTCAATCCAGGCAACTGTATGTTTAGAAATGTTACATGCAGTTCTAATGTGTATCCATGGTTGAGAAATACCAACCATGAGGGAGGTGTGGAAGGTTATGAGCGAAAGTCCTGGAGTTAAACTGCCTGCGTTTGAATCCTGCTCTATCGTTTACTAGGTATTTCCACAGTGGAACCATAGACAAGTTCTCATTTTCCTTAGGCCGGTTTCTCTGTCTACAAGAGGGAAGATAATAATGGTTTTCATCTAATAGGCTTATTGTAAGGATTAAACGTATTACTGTCTGTGAAGTGCTTAGAAGAGTGATGGCTATTATAATATGGCATCAGCTACTCTTATAGTTTCAACTATATTACTCAATATTTAAAAACAAAACCTTTTTAACGTAAGATCAGTTCCAAATCCTGGGAATGACATGAAGCTCTTTACAATCAGCTCCCAATCTATTTTTCAAGCTTCAGATCCTATCATTTCCCTGTATTGCCTAGTTATAAAAAATGCATTGCTGATCTCTCTACAACAGGGTGCCTTTTCAGCCTCCGTATCTTTCTGAAGGTTTTTCCTTCTGCATAGACTACTCTCCGCCCTTCACCCCTCCCCTTTCCATGCTACAGAGTGTGTTCTGTTTCTTTTTAACGGGTCTTATCATTTTTATTCCCGTGATTTACAGCTTAGGTTCCTCTCGCTTCTCATCTGGATGACTGCAACCGCCTCCAAATGCGAGCTACCTGCCTCCAGATTTGTCACCTTCACATTCCCACTCAGTATCACCAGAAACAGCTCTCTTGGTACATGTGCTCATGTCCTTTTCCTATCTAAGATCCTTCCATCACTCCCTGCTATCTTGTTAAGTGAAATACAAACTTCAAAGTATTATACATTAGCTTGACATTCATCTTGTTATTCTCTTTGCTCTCCTCTCCAATCCTTTCAGATACATACAACACACACACACACACACACACACACACACACACACGTGTGTGTACATGGAAAGCAAACAAGAGTCCCATGTTCTTTAGCTTTTGAACATGATGTTTCTTCTCATTCTTTATCCTTGGTTAGGTTAAACTTTAAAATTTTTCAAGACATAAGCTAACACTTTATGTCTTGAGATGTTTTCTTTGATCCCATTTCCCCTACTCTTAGACATGATTAGAAATCACCTAAATCCTCCCATAGCAACCTGGGCACCTTTCTATCATAGTATTGGTCATATTACATAGCCATCGCTTATCTTTCCTGTGAAACTCTTTGAAGTCAGGTACTATTTTCCATCAATCTCCAATACCTATAATAAGGTATACAATAAATGCATTTAAAATGAATAAAACTACTCCGAAGCTTTTTCTTATTGTTAACAGGAAGAACCCCTGTTTCCTCCATTATGCTTTTACTATCTTTTTTATTATTCACCATATCCTGTTAATTCCACCCTCTAAAAAACGCCTTTCAAATCCCTCCATCTCTTCATCTCTATTGCCATTCCCGCAGTTGAGCCATTATGACCCAGTAGAAGGTATTAATAGCAACTTAAAAAAAATTACAATATCCTCTGCACCTAAACAGCACTGGCACGTAACAGGCACTGATACACTGGAGAGGTGACTTAGTTCAACTTCCATGACTGGTTTTCTTGGTCCTGTCCCCGTTCCAGACCAGTGTCCACAAGCAGCTAAAGGGCTCCTTCATTTCTCAACCCTTTTGTACTGTACTACAGCTGCGTCACATCCATGTTCAAGGTTATCGATCCACTCTTTAACAGCTGTGTCTCATCTGTTGTTGCCCGCCAAATGAGTTTATAGTCAATGACCATATTATCTTTCTTCTTTCTCAAAACCCTCTTAATTCATGCTCTTATGACATTGTTTTCATTATCCTCAGTCACTTGCAACATGCTTTCATAGCCTACTGTGGATAGTTCCCTGATTCCTAGATCTTCCTGTGTGATTTTTCCTCTGCTGTCTCTACCTCATGGTGGTTTGTTTTCTGAAGTGGCTTGTATTTTTTTTTTTTAATCTTTTTACTTTGGGAGTCCTCAGAGCCTTGGTAAATGTGAGCCCCTTGAGTGTAATTTCATTTATTTCTTCCTAAATGCTAATGGTTTCAATGATCTTGGATCAGTTTGTTTATTCTTAAGACTCTCTCTCTTGCCCAGGCTGAAGTGCAGTAGTGCAATCATAGCTTGCTACAGCCTGGAACTCCTAGCCTCTCAAGTAATTTTCCAACTTTGGCTTCCCAAAGCACTGTTATTACAGCCTGAGCCACCGTGCCTGGCCAAATCAGTTTTTAATGTTAATTTCTCAGGGTGTTCCTGAATAATGTTTTTAGTGTATTATTTGGACTGATGCCTTCAAGTAATGTTTAGCCTAACCAAGGCTCTGGAGAACATACTTCCTTGTACTTTTCCTGGGTCAGTAGGAAGATTTTCAAAGGTCCAGGTTTGCAGGCTGCTCAATTCCATAACTTTCATACTGCATCAGCTCCCCAAGTCCTATCTCCTTGTTGGAGTACCAAGATTAAAAGCTCAAACCCTAGAAACTTTATTTTGGTTTGGAATCTCACTGAGCCATGGTAAATGCTATTCTTCTAGCATTTATTTCTTTTTCCTTCTGGAACCTATACGCTTTCCTTTAGTTTTTAAGAAAGACAAGGAGAGGGTATGGGCAGATGGGCAGACAAGCACAGGATTTAATAACGGGCAGGAGGCCCATCCACATTAGCTCCACATAGGATACTCCAAGTAGGTGAGTGGTGAACTTCCTAACACACAAAATCTGCCTAAGGCTTCCCAGGAACCTTAGGATAACATTTAAACTTCTTTAAATTTGATACACAAAGCCCTTCAAAACCTGGTCCCCACCACCTCTCTTTCCTTCCATGACTGCCAATCCCATTGAAAGCCACTGCTCAAACTACTGTCTTTCTTTTCTATACCCTTCCTGGGCTTTCCTCACACTGTTCCCCCTGTCTGAAGTACCCTTTTTCACCCTCTTCACGTGGTTAACTCTACTCATCTTTCAGATCTCAGTTTTTCCAAGATGCCTCCTCTGGTCCTCCCAGATGATGCTTCCATAGGGACTAGTATCTACCCCACAACAGCACACATATGTGTTTATTTTTTGTATCATAAAAATTGTTCATCTTCTGTTGAACTCACTGGACTGTAAAGCTCTGAGGGCAGGGACATGCTGCATCCAGCGCGATGCCTGGCACACAGCAGGCACTCATTTCAAATTTGAAGAATGCAGAAAACGCTTAGTAAGGTTTTAAAAGTCTGTTTCCAAAAGGATAGATACCATGTCATATTAACCCATATTCATAATTTGTCTAGCAAACTGTGCGCTGGATAAAGGCATAGATAGGAAGAAAACATTTATTGTTTGGATTGTAATGGAATTCTTAGTGGTTCCCGAGGTGATGGAACCACAACTCATCACAAGAATCTTCAGGTTGCACTGGGAATAATCCAAATGCAAGTCACACAACACTGGGCATTTGAAAAAAAAAATCATTTTCCATTGAGGATGTAAATCAATTTTAATAAGCACAAAATCAGACAACAAATAATTAAATGCAACTACAATACTGATTATTTATCCAGACAAAACTGTCCAACCCCCGCCCCAACTCCTACCCCTGGAAGACAGAATTAATATATAACGTCTTTTGGCTTAATAAAAGGACTTACTATCTTAAAAGTTTGAGAACAGACATCCAGTGAAGTAGACTTGGAATCCTCATTGTTTTCATGCAGCACTAGGTACAAGAGATTCCAGAGTATGGATCCTACAACATATACATTGACAAAAGAGTTCCTGCTTTCAGAGGGCTTTGCTCTCCAAAGAAAAAAGAACATGTAACAGCGCCACACAAAACCTGCCATTTAAAAATGCCCTTCAGAAGTCACAAGCTGAGATTTCTGTTGCTTGTTTTGCATTTACTTTGGCAGCCTAGGAAGATGAAGGAAAACAGATCAGTAATCGAGGGAATGAAGGAAGGAGTCTTGGTGGGTAAAAGACGAGAAATGAATAGGAGGTACAGCAGTTCTGTGCACAGCACCAAACTGGGTATCCAAAGATGCACGACCCAGCCCCAGATCCCCAAGAAACTGGAGCTTCCTTGAGGGTTTCACGAAGTAACATACACAAGACACCTTGTAAAAGGTAAAGCCATCTGCAGATAACCACTCTCCTAACTCAGTGATTATGTGAGATGTGAGAGCTTTATGAACTGTGTTGTGCAATTGTCAAGTATAAATATTAGAGGCAGAAAACAGATGTTGTGTTTTTATTCTATAATTAATGGGATGTACTATGCCACAAGTATATCTTGCAATTTGTTGCCTTTGCTGTTCTAATATCTTTTTTCAATGTCTGTCCCTGGAAGAGTTCCAGAGTAGGATAAAAACTAGAGAGAGAATACAATAGAGAATATGAAACCAGGCCAGGATTAAGTAAGAGGCTTGGTTCCAGAAGACACTAAAACAGTATCTGCAAAGATGCAACCTAGTGTCTTCAGTGTGTGTTCCTACAATACATAGGACTGGAGAGAAGATATGAAGGTAAGACCTTTGTGCAATCCTCAGAGCCCAGCTGTCTCTGCCCCTTATCTGAAGGTGTCACACGGCAGTGAAGACCCAAGCTCAATTCTCTTGAGAAGAACAGAAAACCACAGGCAATGAAAGAATATCTAGTTCTCTGCCTTAAAATGCTACTAGCTGGGGTGATCTCTCTGGACCATAAATGGCAGTCTGTAGTCATATACTGTCAACCTAAAGGAGAGCCAGTAATCTGCCTATTTACTGGCAAACAATCTTCAGAAGAAAATAGTGATCAGAACTGAAATTATTACATTTAGTAGATATTTATATCCCTTCCAGTCCCCATTCTTATTTTCTACCTTAATGCAGGCCTATAATTTGGGAATTTTAATATGACTGCTTGCTAGGGCTAACCAGGGCCCGTCAACAGCTCCTCTCAGTGTTCTAGAATAGAAATCCACTAATAAAATCTGTTAACTGCTCTTTTCTAATGCTGCTGCTATTCTTTAAAATGAAAGATTAGCCCAGTACAATCCTTCTAATGAAGATATTCTTTTATTCTTAATTGTCCTATATGCAAGCTTTTATCTAGGCTTTCCATATAAGGTTGGGGGTCTTGGAGTGCTGGATCTGAATTCCCGACCTTGCTTATTAGCCATGTAACACAATCTCCTTAAGCCTGTCTTATCCTCAAAAATGTGGCTATTACTACCTATCGCATGTGGTTGTTTTAAGGAGTAAATGAAATAACCTATAGAAATCCTTCAGCATAGAGTCTGGCATAGGGTAGGTACTCAATATATTTCATTTGTTTTTCCTTCAAGCTATTTGAAATCCTTTTGGGAAGAAGGCAAGATTTAAATGATAAGCAAATGGTTCTTTATTTCATCCTAGTTACACAAAAAAATAGATTGCATAAGGAAAATCTTGGTCTGTTTATTGTTATATCAAAGAAACCACGGTAAATCAAAAAACAATTCTTGTCTTGGAGGCACTTATGAAGTGTTGGAATACAGATGAGACAGAAACTTAAACATAGGTTCTCCCACTGAAGACCGTATCAGCAATGCTTCTAATTTCCAATGTATCAAAGTCCTGTCTACTCCCTGTAATTGGCAGGATACAATTTGAGGCGAACTTGGTGTACCAAGAAGTCCTATGAAAACTTAACCTAGATGACACAATGAATGAAAGGGAACACATTCCCTGGCTTTTGGCCTTCTAACACATGATCAGTATGCTTCAAACCATGTTTAAAACTGTTTCTGTAAAATATTTTTGCCACCTAAGTTTTTTTTTTCTCTTCATAAAAGTAATAACTGAATAGCAAGGGGAGAAATGGCTCAAAACTTGTTACAATAGGTTTCAAAGAAAGAGAATAAGGTATAGAGAAAGGGAAGACAGGAGGAAAGAACCAGAGGTCAAATAAGTAGGAGGTAGTACAGGGAAGTCAGTGAAAGCTAAGACACAAGTATCTTCCACCTTGAAATGCTGTAGACTTATGGTTAGCCTCAAGATACTAGGTAGGAATAAACATGTCATTGAGAGTAAATGTGAACACAAAAATTAAAAATAAAATTATAATAATTCACTTTCTTCTTAATTAAAATGTTTTTGGTGGTTTTATATATGGTGGGTCTAAGAGGCAATGCCAGATGGTAGATAGCTGCCTTCGGGGGAGGGTGACCTGTGGTCTGTCCCCTGCCCTACATCGTAAAGATGTGTCATCTTGGACAAGTCACAGCAGCAGCTCATGTTGAATCTTGGGATGATTCTTTATCTAAAGGTGGAGAACTGGACCAGCTCTTTGATGGTGATGAGGGGCTTTGAGAGGAACAAGGACATATAGCATCTCTGTTGGATTTGGGCCATAATGTATCAGCCTAGGATACTGAGAGAGATTTACTCAAGAGTTGAGGAGGGCTAGGGGCCAAATACAAATTTTTAAGTTTTGAGACAGGGTTTTACTTTGTTGCCAGACTGGAGCGCAGTGGCAAGATCACAACTCACTGCCATCTCTGACTCCCAGATTCAGGCCATCCTCCCACCCCAGCTTCCCAAGTAACTGGGACTACAGCACATGTCACCACACCCAGCTAATTTCTAAATTTTTTGTAGAGATGGGGTTCTGCCATGTTGCCCAGGCTGGTCTCAAATACTTGGGCTCAAGTGATTGGCCTGCTTTGGTCGCCCAAAATGTTAGAATTACAGATATGAGCCACTGCGCCCAGCCTCAAATACAGATTTTTAAGAGGCCATATTTATATACCTGACCATCATGGTCATGTTGGTTAGCCTCCATACAAAGCTAGGCTTTTTAACCTTCAGGAAAATTACCCCAAAGCAGTTACTGGCCTAAATAAAGCAGGTCAATGTATAAACCTCAGTTTAAAACAGAACATCACAAACTAACCTGAAGCAAGTAAAGGAGGGGACATCAAACCTGACACCCATTCTGATGAGAGCAACAGCTCTCTTTTGGCAGCCAAACTAATGTATGCAATTCCTACAATGAACATGGTCAATGCCAATCAGATAATCAGAGGAACCATCATTTAATGGGAAATAACCCAATATCATATATATAAAAGAGCTGACCTGAGGTTTTGCTATAGATAACTCATAACAGCAGTAAATTCAAAAGTCATTTACTTTGTTTTTAGCTTTGTAATTAACACACCTTGTGTGGATACCCCCTGTTCTATGTCTGGATGACTTCCTTCTGGCTTTGCTCAAGGCTCCCTTGCATTTGAGGAGACGATAAAGGATGGGATCCCCACCTGCTGAACCAGAGGAATCTGAGGAGAACCAGGTTTCCACTGAAGACCAAATCATGACCCAAAGAAGTAATCCCAGAAGTCATTCTTGCCGTGGGCATGGCTTAGTGTCCGTCTCCCCACTGTGAGCCCTGCCCTCAAGAGCAAGGGTCTCCTTATTCATTTTTATATTCCCAGTGCCTACCACTTTGTCAAGCCCTTAGTAGAAAAGGTGCCCAATAAATGCATGTTGAGTTTAATTAAGCTTTCTATTTCTCCTTCCCCAACTTGTATATATTCTAGAAACACTGAAAATTCAGAAATCGGCAGGTATCAGGGCTCCTGGGTAATAAACCATTCACAGGGATAGCTGTAGGAATTTGGCATTAGCATTCATTCCAATCGCTTGGGGTAATCAGGTGGCATAAGCATATCCTGCTTTACGGTATAGCATAAGGTCAGGGGAGAAAAAGTTCAAGAGGGGAGAAAGACAAGGGATGGAGATCAATCCACAAGTATCTACTGAGCATCAGTTGTGTCCCACACTATTCAAGGTGCTGGGCAGAGAAAGACAAAAAAAGCAGAAGCTCTGACCTTAAGGAACTTAACAGATAGTTAAGAAACAGCAGGATTTTAGCAATACTAGGAATTCACAGCAAAAGCCCAGAATACAGGTGTAATATATATGATCAAAAAGTGACGTCCCTATCAAGAGAATTAAGAAAACCAAGGGGAAGAACTCATCAACATTTCACCTCAAATTTAGCATATAGTATTCAGTTTTTTAAGTACACGTTCTTAATTTTATGAACAAAATATTCAGACCTAGGTGATTAAATTATCCACAAAAGATCAGATTACTGGTTTCCAACACAGAAGTGCTCAAACAAGGGTCTTCTGAACCCCAGCCTACTGCAATGTGTATATTACATTTGGCCAAAAGGTAGTTGTTTTCAAAGTAAAGAACCCAGATCTGCAGCATCAGTACCTGAGCCTTGTTAGAAGTACACATTCTCAAGCCCCAGCACAGACCTATTGCCAGAAACTCTAGGGGTGGGCCTCAGCAATGTGTGTTTAACAAGTCCTTCAGGTGCTTATAGTAAGTTTGAGAACCATCACCTGAAGCAAACGCAGTTAATCTGAAGTTCATGCAGAAAGCCACTGTTGGTTACATTAAAGGGTTTGCTGGTGAGAGAACAGCAAAAGCAAGGGGTCTAGAACTGTTTCACGTTTTAAATCTGTGCCAAATTAACTGGGGAAAAAAATGTAAATCTGTAACTTACCTCATCGTACAATTTGTAATGGCTGAGTCCCTCACATTGTGGTAAACCTTGTTGTACCCTTGGAATGACTGTCTACTGCAATATAATATATACAGAGTACAAAAAGTGTATAGCTGGAGGAGAAAGGGTGAAAGATTATGAATCCCAGGTGTTTGGTCCTAGGAGGAAAAATTCCTGTCCTCTCTCCAACCCTGCCCACCCTCTTATGCTAGATAGTAACAGCAGAAAGTTCTCCAAGACTGCTCCGCGTTGACACGCTTCCCACCAAGCCTCTCACGGCTATCCCACAACCTTTCTTAAGTAGCTTCCTGGATCAAGCCACACGGGGCAGCTTGGAAGAGAAGCTAGGAGGGATGAGAGGCTCCACTAGCATTCCTTGTGGCTTCTGAGTGTAGCTGCCCTGGGTGTCACCTGCAGAGCGTGGACAGAGAAAAAACAACAGTTCTAAGCCCAGACTCTAAGGGAGAGCCTGGGATATGGCGCTGCTCCCCAGGATCAAGGTGGTTCAAGAAAGGCTGGTCTAAGAGTCTCCCTCTGGGGAGGTCAGTACAGATTCCAAGGCAGACAAGATTATCAAAGCGCCTAGGAGATGCGAACATTCATTGTTCAGAAAAACAAAAATTAAACTGACACCTTTCTGAAAGAGCACAGCCCATCCACGGCACACAAACTAACAAACTTTTAATCAAGACAGACAAGAAGTAGGTATACTCCTGCTAAAAGTAATGCTGGTGCTGGGAAGAGGTGCCAAAACCGGCTGTTAGGAGTGGGAGGAGAGGAAAGTTCTAAGTGGAGACAGCAGCTACTGGCTTGAGGGGAAGCTCAAGAGTCTGTCACAGTGGCAGCTGAAAAGCCACTGGCCAGGTGGACGCCAAGGACTACTATCATCACAGGTGATAAGATCACGGGTGAGTGTATCTGAGTGTGTGCGGCGGGGAATGAGGGGAGCTTGGGAGTGTAAGGAGATATGGCTCGCTGGGGCAAGGAGCCCGCGGAGATGATCTTAAGCAATCTGAGAGTCGGCGTGAGAAAAGGTTGAGGAAAATAAAGGGAGCTAGACCACTCCTCCCTCTGTTCCGGGGGGACAGTGGCGCGGAAGCCATACGAGGTATGAGGTACGGACTAACTACATTTCTGCAGGCCCCAGGAGGGGGCGGAGGGCGGTGGCTGGAAAGGGAAGGAAGCCAGAAGCACCATCCGCGTCCCCGGAGACACTGGCTCCCGCCACCAGGAAACACAGAGGCCACAACGTCTCGGCCCCCTCAGTACACCGCCGCCGCCCCTTCCCCAGGACACGGTGATTTCCCCAGGCTCTGGGGGGCGGGGTCTCCGGTCCCTCCCTCTCCTCCCTGCCCTGCCCTGCCCCGCTCTGCCCCATCTGGTCCGGCCCGGCCCAGCCCGGCCCGGTCCAGGCCCCTCAGCACTCACGGCTCCGACAGCTCCGGCGGCTCCTCCCCTGCCCCGGCTTCTCTCCCACCCACTCCTGACCGAAACAGCGCCGCCGGATCCGAGCCGCGCGGGGCCTAGCGGGTCGGAACACGTGGGGCCTTTGCGCCCGGAACCGGAAGCGAACGCTAGCCCCGCCTTCTCGCCGCGCTGGAGCCTTTCTAGGCTGTGGGAGGTTTGGTCCTCTCTCTTCGCTCTCCGTGGGTTGCGGTTCGGGTGTTCACCAAGGACCCAGTGCAAAGAAGCTTTGGACCCCACGGCTTCCTTCCGCGATCCCCAACCCTACTCTGCAAGCGAATAAGTTAATATCTTAGGGTTTTCATTTATACGTATTCCTTCTGCAAGGTTTTTCTTTTTGTTTTCTGTTTTTTACCTTTTGTGTGATTGTTTTGGATACATCGACGTGTTTTTCTTGATATTTTATTTTCTTTGCATTGTCTGCTGCAGCATGGCAGAAAAGGGCAGCGTTAGGTTTGAATACTGGCTCTTGCATCCATCATCAGCATTAGGGCCTCGGCCCAATATCTCCCATCTCTGAACCCTAGTGTGCATCATATTGTGACATGGTAATTGCCCCATAAACTGCGTACCTCGACCATACCTCCGCTTTGCGTTGAAACTGCTCTCTATAACCGTAATGTGACAGGCAAGCAGTCCAAACCCCCGCCATCTTGGCCCCTGTGACTTGTAATAAGTAACTGAGGTCTGTGATTTCCACCCTACCCAGGCAATGTGTAAACTAACGCTTATCTGGACTTCTGTGAACTACCTAAGTAACAATCGGACTGTCCAAAGTCCCCTGGCCCTCGGAATGTCCAGAGCCCCTCATCCTCACCCCCAGCCCAGGAGGTGGTTTACGGAATGTCCAAAGTCCCCTGGCCCTCACCCTTTCCCGGGAGGTGGTTAACGGGCATAAAAGGCCTTGACACCCTTCCTTTGGGGCCTCGGGTTGGAGAGATGGGAGTCCTCCGTGGCCACCGGCAATAAAGACCCTGTAATTTGGCCTAGGCTTTGTCTCAGTGGTGATTTCGTGCTCTCTTGGCTACAACAATATAAAATGGGCATAATAATACCTTTGCTGTGAGGACTAAATGAGACATTGCTCATGAACTGATTGGAACATCAGAAGCTCAGAAAGAGAATAGTTATGGTATCACACTGTTCTTTCTTTTCCTTTGAGGGTTGCTTCGTATTTCTTTACTTTCAGGCTGTCTTCCCTGATCTCATTTGTTCATTTTTATCTGTTCGGTGACCTTTCTGCCCATACCTGACATTTTCCTTTGCTCTCTGTCCCTTTTACCGTGTAAGTCATCACTCTCCACGTGCCATGTGTCACTTCGTTTTCATGGGACATATGCTGGGATCTGTTTGCTGGGTTTGAACCAAAGGTATTAGTTACTTTTGGTGGAGGGAGAGTGTATTAGTGAAATAGAACTGATAGGTGTGAACCCAGAAGGTGGGACAAACCAAGTGGGGAGGGGTCTTCCAGGTCATAGGTAGATAAGAGACAAATGGTTGCATTCTTTTAGTTTCTGATTGGTCTCTCCCAAAGGAGGCAATCAGATATGCATTTATTTCAGTGAGCAGAGGGGTGACTTTGAATAAAATGGGAGGCAGGTTTGCACTAAGCAGTTCCCAGCTTGAATTTTCCCTTTAGTTTAGTGATTTTTGGGAGCCCAAGATGTTTTCCTTTCACATAGGGTATATATAAACATATGAAAGGAGATTTATTATAAGGAATTGGCTCACATGATTATGGACGTTTAGAAGTCCCACCATCTGCTCTTTGCAAGCTGGAGAGCCAAGAAGGCTGGTGATATAATTCAGTCTGAAGCTGAAGGCCTGAGAACTGGAAATGGACTGAGGTGCTGGTGGCTGAAGGCCAGAGAGCAGGAGGAGATGATGTCCCAGCTCAAGAAGAGAGAGGTGAATTTACTCTTCCTCTGCCTTTTAATTCTATTTGGGTCCTCAATGGATTGGATGGTGTCTAGGCATGTTAGTGAGAGTGATTTTCTTTACCCAGACTACTAATTCAAATGCTAATCTCTTTCTCTCTCTCTTTTCTTAGATGGAGTCTCCATCTGTCGCCCAGGCAGGAGTGCAGTGGCGCGATCTTGGCTCACTGCAACCTCTGTCTCCCAGGTTCAAGCAATTCTTCTGCCTCAGCCCCCCTAGTAGCTGGTATTACAGGCACGCACCACCACACCCAGCTATTTTTTTTTCTTTTTTTTATATTTTTAGTAGAGACAGGGTTTCACCATGTTTACCAAAAATACCCTCATAGACACACCTACTAATAATGTTTTACCTGTTATCTGGGCAACCCTTATGGAGTCAAGTTGACACATAAAATTACCCATTACAAAGAGGAATGTACATTTCATGAAAGCTTACTGTGTACCAAATGTTTTTCCCAGGAAATCTCATTGAATATTTTAAAATATTAGTATTAAGTGCATAAATAATACATGACGAAGTTCTTCTAAACATTTAAAGCATTACAGTGTTAAGGAAAAAAATTATTCAATGATACTTGTTAAAGCATGGTAAGGGAGACCTTATTCAGGACCATCACGAAAGGTAAAGAGACCACTGCAATAAAGTCTTACTGTAGGGACAAGAGATTGGGCTCAACTTCAAATAAAAATGGGCAAGTGAGAATGTATAGTCAAGGAGGTTTAATGAGAGTTTGGGACGTCGATGGATTGAAAATTGCTAACGGGAAACTCAGGAGTAAGGGGGATTCTGGCTAAGTCAACCTAATAGGATTCTTGCTGAAGACAGAGGCCAGGGTGACCAGACATCATCTGGGGGATGGTGGAGGCTGAGGAACCGGATCTGGTATTAAGGATGGTCAGATAGCGAGGATGGGGCAGTTCCTGCTAAAGGACTTAGCAGAGTTCTTTGCTAACAGTAGGTCTTACAAGGAGGTACACAGATAGGTCTAGGAGAAGTTTCGGAGCCTGACAAGTTTGGAGAAGAAAAGAGATTTTGTCAATGGATAAAGCTAATGACATTTTTACCAACCCTGGCTTCCTTTTCTCTCTCCAGAAGTTAGCTATTCTTATGACCCTAGTGCGTTTATCTTCCAGATCTTTTTCTTTATTTTCATGTACTATGTACATATGTATCCACAAAAAGTAAATAGTATTATTTTGTGTGTACATGTGTGTATGCCTGTGTGTTCATGTTGAATTCTTCAATTTGTTTCCTCTTCGCAGTGGGCCTTGGAGATCTGTTGATGTGGTAAATAAAAATCTCCCTTATTCCTTCTACTTTCTGCGTAACATTCTATAGTCTGAATAGCCATTTGCCTATTGAAAACATACGTCATTTATAATTGTTGGAATTACAAACAATGCTATAACGATCACCCTCTTTGTGCATGCATGCAATGATACTCTGAGATGGATACTGAGAAAGAGTATTGCTGGGTTATAGGTTGCACACGTTTAATGAATACTGCCAAGTTTTCCTCCCAGTTGAACGCACCTGTTTACACTCTTAACAGCAGTGTATGAGATCTTTTCCCCCATATCCATGCCCTTATATCATGTTGCCGAAATTGTAAATCTCGGCCAGTTTAATGGGCAAAAATAATGTCTAATTGTTTTACTTTGCCTTTCCATCATTAATGGTGAGACTGAACTTTCTTCCATACATTTGCTGGTAATTTGTAGTTTTCCTGTGAGTTTTATTCTTCTATTGGACTTTTTGTCTTTTAAAATTGTTAGATGTTCTTTATGTATTCTAGATCCTAATCATTTGACATATATCTTGTAAGAGACATGTTAATTTTATGTGTCAACATGACTAAGTTCACGAAAGCCTACCGTGTACAAGATGTTTTTCTCTATACATCTCCTTAAATATTTTTAAATATTAATATTAAACTTTACAGATTATTGTTTAACTTCGTAGTATTAAAGTTTTGGATCTTATATACTCTTTTCCCCAGTGGCTTCAAATTAGGTGTTTTATTTAAGAATATCTTTTCTGAAACAAAATCATAAAGGCTCCTCTTGTATTTTCTTCTACTACTTTTTGCTTCTCCTTTTTATGGTTAAATTTGGAATTTATTTTTGTGAATGATATAAATTGGGGATTCTAATCTGATATCATCATTGGTAATCAGTTTTTACTTTGAAAACATGGAGTACGAGATATTCACATAGTAGAGGATATATTTGCATACAAAGGATACAATCTGTATGTGATGCGATCTGAATTCTGTCAGTGCAGTTACCTGGTCCTTCCTTTGTCAATGATTGTTTGAGTGACTGCTATTGTAAGACACTGTGGTAGGTATGTGGAACAGAACAGAGAATAAGAAAGATGTAATATCTGTTCTTGTGGATCTAACTTTCAAGTGGTATGTGTGTGTGATATGAAGGAGTTGGGGAAGAAGAAAACAGTTTAAATAACTTACACAATGCACTAACTGTGATTATTTAATAATGATTAATTAAATTAATTACAGTGGTTGTAAGTTCTCCAAAGGAGAAACACAGAGTGCTATGAGAACTTGTAACCCGAGGTCCTAATCCTGGTGGTGGTGCTGTTAGAGACGTAGTTAGGGAACGCTTTCTTGGGTAGTGACCTTTGAGCTGAGTCAGTGAAATGACTAGGCAGGCTGAGGCTGGGAGTGAGGTTGGGAGATGAGGTGCAAATCAAAAACTGCCTGAGGCAGATCCCAATTGATTTAGAGGTTTATTTTGCCAAGGTTGAAGACACCGCATGGAAAAGTAGACACAAGTTACAGTAGGATGTGTGGCCTTTTCCAAAGAGGGTTTTGAGGACTTTAATATTTAAAGGAGAAAGAGCAAGCAGGAGAGGAAGGAGGAATGAAAACAAAGGGGAGGGTAGGCAGCTAGCAAGAGGTCACATTCTTGTGAAGCTCTGACCAGCGCTCAGGAATCCAAATTTTACAGGTGAAAAGAAAGTAGTGGGGGACAAAGTCAATTATGCATAGATCTGCATTTTCCATAAGATGAAGTAAATGTGAAGTAAAGTAAACGTGTCTAGAAACAAAAGGAATTTCAGAAACAAAGGTGTTTAGAAACAAAAAGTATGTGTTTAGAAACAAAACAAAAGGAAGGCAGCTTTTCT